ACTGCCTCCCTCACGTTCGTGCCTTTGGTACGGACAAGCTCACTGCCCGCAATGTCCCCTGTGTCTTCCTCGGTTTCCCCCTCTACTCGTCTGACTGGCACTTCTACCAGCCGCCGTCTCACCGCTTCTTTCACTCCCGTAACGCCATTTTCGACGAGTCTGTCTCCTTTTACCACCGCTTTCCTCACCGAGGTCTCCCGGTTCCCCCCCCCCTGTTCCTGGTTCCCTTTCCCCCGGTCGCCCCTGCTTCCCTCCCTCCCCATCCTGCTCCGTCTAGTGTGTCTTATGTCACTCCCCTCCCGTCGGTTGTCCCGGTCAAGGAGTCGGCTGACTCTGGTGGCCCCGCGGCGCGATTTGTGCCGCCTGTCCCTCCCCCGGTCTCTCCTCCTCCCTCATCGCAGTTGCCGCCTCTGCTGCAGCAGCCTCAGCCGCCGTAGCAGCCGCAGCCGTTCGTGGACTCTGGTGGTACTGGAGTTGAGGAGGGTGCTAGTCCTGGGGCTCCTGTCATGGCTTGTCCCCGCAGGCTCGGGGGTGGTACCAGCGGTGGAGAGTTTTCTCTTTCTGGGGGTGCTGGCGTGGAGTGTAACGGAGGTAGCAGTGGTGCAGCTGGTGGTCCAGGTGTCGGCGTCAAGCAGCAGCAGCAGCAGACGCCGCCGGTGTCCGCCCTTCACCTGCTCGTCCCCGACTCGTTTCCCCCCTCGTTCCTCTCCTGTTACTCCTCCTCTGTCTCCTGACCCGACGCCTCCGTCTCACGTCTGGTCTCGCCGTCCCTCTCGTGCTCATCCTCTCTCTCCTGTTCAGCGTTCTCACCCTATTTTGCTTCGTTCCCACGAGTCTCGTCCTCCCCTCCTGCCTTCGCCTTCTCCGTCGTCGCTTGTTGTTGCTCCTCCCCCTTTGTTTGACTACCTTCATGCTGCTCGTCTTTTTGTTCCTCGGGTCCTTGCCTGCCTCGTTACCGACCCGTCTGTTCCTGTCTCCAGTCTTGACGCACTTGTCACTGCTGTCGCTGACTTTGCCTCTACTCGCCACCTTGACTTCGCTCCCGCTCCGGTCTCTGACCCTGTCCGTCCTCCGTCCGTCGGGGGTGCTCCTGCCCTTGGCAGTGACGTCCTAGAGGACAGGGAGTACGAGCTTGCTTTCCTGTCCGAGGCTGCTCCCCATCTCTGTTCCATGCTGCTAGTTCCTGAGGGTGACCCAGACGCCCTCGACATCCCGACCCCTCGCACTTACGCTGAGGCAACCTCGGGACCATGGGCCTCTCAGTGGATAGCTGCCATGGAGCACGAGATGGCATCTTGGAGGGCTACCGGCACCTACGTCAACGCAGTTCGCCCACCTGCGGTGAACGTGGTTGATGGGCGCTGGCTCTTCAAGGTGAAGCGCCCCCCTGGAGAGCCGCCTGTGTTCAAGTCGCTCTACGTGGCTAGAGGCTTCAGTCAGCGAGAGGGGGTGGACTTCTTTCAGACCTTCGCCCCGACCCCGAAGATGACTACCCTTCGGGTGCTGCTATACGTAGCAGCACAGCGTGACTACGAGGTCCACTCCCTCCACTTCTCCACTGCTTTTATTCAGGATAGCCTGCACGAGCATATCTACCTGCGCCGTCCTCAGGGCTACACTAGTACCTTCCCTCCTCGGACCAAGTGGCTCCTCCGGCACTTGGTCTACGGCCTGCGACAGGCGCCCCATAAGTGGCACAACCCGCTGCGTGCTACGCTAGGTGACCTGCAGTTCTTTCCGTCCTCTGCTGACGATTCGCTCTTCGTTCGTGCTGGCCAGACTCTGTTCTACATCCTTGTCTACGTCGACGACTTGGTCTTTGCAACTGCTGACAGAGACGCGCTGGCCTCCGTGAAGGTTGAGCTGCTGAGGAGGCACACCTTCACTGACCTAGGAGAGCTGCACCGCTACCTTGGCCTGCAGATCTCCAGGGACAGAGCAGTATTGCACCATCACTCTTACACTGACACACTTGGTGCGCCGGGTCCTTCAGTTCTCCTCCGCACAGCCCACACCTCTGCCGGTAGACCACAGGCTCTCAGCTCCAGTTCCCGAGGAGTCAGCAGAGCCCAGTGGTCCTTACGCAGAGCTAGTGGGTTGCCTCATGTACCTGATGACTTGCACTCGTCCAGATCTCGCATAGCCTCTCAGCACCTTGGCCCGCTTTGTGGCCACGGGCAGACACCGACCACAGCACTGGTCGGCTGCTAAGAGGGTTTTGCGTTATCTTGCAAGTACATCGGGCATGGGGCTAGTGCTGGGAGGATGCAGGCCAGTGGTCCTTACTGGGCACACAGACGCTTCTAGGGCAGACGACGCTGAGACCCTCAGGTCCTCCCAGGGCTACTGCTTCAGCCTTGGTTCTGGTGCCATCTCGTGGAGGTCCAATCGCTCCTCGTCTGTTGCTCAGTCTAGCTGCGAGGCTGAGATCTACGCCGGTGTCATGGCGGTACAGGAGCTCCGCTTGCTGACCTTCTTGCTCGCAGAATTAGGTCATCAGCGGCATTGCTTGCCGTTAGGTCTAGTCCTTGTTGACTCACCTTCTAAACCACATTTGGGTACCGCGATTGAATTTCGTGGCAGAGCTGCGCAGCAACCCCATTATAGCAGTGTATGCCTTACTAACTAAATCCCGTGATAAGGAAATACTATTCCCTTACATATTCTTTGTTATACTGTATATGTGAGCTTGGGTTATCTAATCTTGTTCACTTTCTATGGTATGACACCCCCAATGTTAATGTTCAGTATAGCGGGGTTTAGAGGAGTGGAGTGTGTTGATCTCTTTCCCTCCCTGTGCCATGATGAGGACATATCCGCCAAAATGGTTGCTTGGATGGCGGCCTGCATGAGCTGAAGTTTTCAGGTTGCGGATGTGGTGCGAAAGCACATTGACTCTGCCTTTCTCCACCAGGTGGACTCGTCGCGAGTAGGACAACGAGAAGGACCGAGGTGTCCCACACATCATGAAAATGCACATTTGTCCTCAATGTACTGTACGATGTATTCCTGTGGTGTCTCGCATCCCAAACGCTCAGAGGTTTTATGGGCTATGTCGTGTGCTACGTTGACAGTCGAATTTATGTTCCGAAGTTGTTCCGAGTCCTTGGATGCTAATGGTATTCTGCTCTAGTCTTTCTGCCAAAGTCGACTTTTTGCCAACTCAACGTCAAGATCGTGACCTGGACCAGTCTGCCCTCAAGGCTGCAGCAATCATCGTGACCAGGGCTTATGTTTGGTTTTTGAACAGCGCTGACGCTCAGAGCTCCCTTCAAATTTCACCATGAAAATCCAGGATCCGAAGCTATACTGCTCTGTTTTTTTTTTTCAGGGCCAGCCGATAAAATGCTCGGCCAACGCACATTTCCACGGATTTTACTTGAGGTTGTTCCGAGCTCTGCGTCACATTGGATTCGCGTGTGTTTTAGGGGTCTGAGGGGAGTACTTCCCAACAAGTTGCCTGGTAGCCAGGTCCTAGAAGAGTACGGGTGTTAGGAGTGTGCGAGATAAGGGGTAAGGGGAGGGAGGGGCGCCGGGGGAGGGAGGGTGCAGGTAGTGGAAAATCAGGGTCACATGAAAATATACTCGGGTCGCCTGACGATCTTTTCGGATGTTGTCAGGGCTTGGTTAAAAAACAACCGGGATAAAATCAGGGCTGGTCTAAACACTACCTTAGAATTTCAGTCAATTCAGGGCGAATGCCCTGATAACATAAGCCTCGTGACTCTGGTTTTCTGTACTGTACAGGAAACTTTTGAGCTCGATCTGACCAGCCCAAGGCTGGGGAAAGGTCGAAGGTAGGGGTTTCACCCAGGGCTTGTTTTGGACGAGTAATTACCTGGAGTTTGACCAAATAACGGGTAATTTATTTACCGAAATCGGATTGTGAAGTGTTCGATTTTCATGCACCCGGACTCTGACGGGTACATTAAACCCGGAACACCGAAGTGACGTGTTCCGTTTTGAGAATCACGGATACTAAAACCTCACACTACCCCACAGACACCCCCGCCATCCCTCTCCCCAGGGTACATCAGCTCTAGCAAGCAAGTTGAAGAAGTGGAAGCATAAGAGCTGAGCAGAGGACTCTTGGGTGGTTCCCTTCGTAGAATCCAGGAATTTTTCGTAAGAGTGTTTGTCATCACGGAACAGGTCCCGGGACTGAACCCAGAAATTGACGGATAACGTTTAATCCTGGTTCGGGTGAGAGAGAGACCCGGATCTGCCGTGTGGACGAAAACCCTAAGGTAAGCCCTGGTTTCACCAGCTGCCACCGCCAAACTAGTGGTGTGTATGCTGATTGCGCACGGGCTCTAGAAGACGATAAGTCAGTTTTTTTTCCGGGAATCACATGTGGTTTGCGGAGTTTACGGGTCACTTTCGGTAGGCACAAGACCCGTATATCGACTATCCTCACGTGTCATTTTTGCATGGGAGTCCCCTGTTTTCGTGCTTTTGTTTACAGACGCACTCTTTGGAGTTAGTATTGCACATAGGTTGGCTCTTTCCGCCCCGCTCAATCAGTAAGAGCTAGCGCAGACGAGACCCTAAGTGATGCCGGTTTAGCAATCCGATTTTATGGATGACTTTCGACTGAGGCCGGATGGAACAGGTAGCTCTGAACGTTTAGCCCGATCAGACTCCAAATGTAAGCTCCCCAGCCGACAGTTCATCCATCCCCTTATCGCACAACACCCCCCTCCCTCCTCCCCTTCCCCTCCCCACCCCATCCCCAGGTCACTTTGCCTCTGGCGAGGACAAGGACAACCCTGCTGCCGCGGCGTGTCGCACCTTGTCACACAGACAGGCTCGAACTATCAGAGTTTGAAAACGGTTCGGTGCGATTTTATAGGCTTTACTGTAATGAAGGTGCGGTTTCGAGCTGAACCTATTCGTGTAAAATGCGTGCAGGTGCTAATGCACCTGCAGCTGGAGCTGATGCTGCTGTGCCCTCTCAATCCGCCTTCACCAGAAACTTGCTGCGAGAAATAGTAACCCACCAGTGTGTCATTCTCGTTCCATACCAATTCCTTTCAGCACCTGATAATGACAGAAATGTTGCCTCTCGTTCTCCCAACCTCGCCGAAAGGCATTCACCGCCTGACGTCACCCGACTGCAAGCTTGTACTGCTTTTCGCCAGCCTCATCGTCACTCTCTTCTTCCTCCGCGCCTTGGATCACGGCGTCGCCGACTCGCAAGAATCCTGCGACATGGTCTCGCGGCGCTCCGTCGACCCTGCCGTTGATGCCTCCAATCCCCTGCCACCGCATCTACGGCCAGGATGCATCCTCTACTCTGACAACCGCTCCATCTCCGCGCATGCCGCAACACGTGGACTAACTCCGGCCGCGGCGGCTGCCGTTGCGGGCTGGGGTGCGGCTTCTCCTATTCTGTCGCTAGAGGACCTGGCGCAGCTGCCGTACTACGAGTCGTCGCGAATCATCAACAAGTAATCATGCTCCTCCTGCTGGTCCTCGTAGTAACGCGAAATTTTGCGAAAGCTTTCGTGAACATGCAAAGCCGAGAGTATCGCCGCCGACGAAAAAGGCGCAGTGCAATTGAGCTGCACCGAAGCGGAGACCCGCTAGGCCGAGATTTGCCACAGTTGAGCCCGACAGCACAGGCGCTGCTAAAGAGCCGTGTCTCAACGGGTAGTAACCGCCACATATAAGAGCCGTGGCTCTGCCGCCACATTCCAACTTGGACGAGTCGTTCTTTAACCGCTCACGCGCTCTCCACTGCGTTCGCCCCCCGCTGTGCTTCCCAGGCTGTACGCGGAACGGCACGGCTACCTCTTCTTCGAGTCGTACGAGGGCGCCAACTCGTCGCGCAAGTTCACATGGCACAAGGTGCGTCCATGGCGCCCGGGACTGCTCTATGCTGCTGCGCTGGTCATCCGCTCCGCAACAGGTCGAACGAGCCCATTTCCCCCCTCGCGGAGCGCGACACTGCGCGGCGCGTCACTGGCAGTGCCAACAACCGATACAGTGGGGTGCGCCGCGCCGTTCACTTGGGTGCGAGAAGTGACACGCTTTTCGAGGCACGCTATTAGGAGCTTCCGTGCGCGGTATAAGTGTGGCGGAACATCGCACTCTGATGTTCATGACGCCAGTTCGCGTCGCCGCGACATGCAAACGGCCCCCATCATTCCCTTGCATTGTAGCGTCAGACGCGTCGTTTCACTTCTCCGCGCTGTCCTGTCGACCCTCCTGTTTCAACGCGCGACTAACAGCGCGGCCCCTGTCCCACGCCGCGAAGTTTGGCGTGGGGGTTTCGGGTTTGGACGGCAACGACCGTAGAAATTCTCCTCCTCTCCTCGACTTTCCTCGGCGCGTCATTGACGTTTTCCTTTCGCCCCTTCTCCCTCCATCCCACCCCTCCCCCTCTCCTCGAGCCCCGCGCAGGTGACGCTGTTGCGGCACGCGCTGCAGTGCTGCTGCCGGTGGGCGCTGTACGTGGACTCGGACGCGTACCTGCGCATGGACATGCACCGCCTCTCCGTCGAGGACTGGGCCGCGCGCGTCAGCAAGCGGGTGAGTTGCGCCGCCGCGATTCAACTCGAACCTGCTCTGCAGCGCCCCGCGGCGTCGTGATTGCGACGCGGCAATGCGTCATAGTCTCTTGACCTGCTGGTGAATCATAGCCAAAACCATGAGCCGTGCGCAGGGCGCTACTTCTGGCTCGAATCGGCCGATGCTCATTTCACGAAATTGAGGCGAGCCCACAGGAGAAGTCCCGTAGGGGTTACTACAAGGTACAAGCACGAAAGTAAATGGACGGATTGCGAAAACTCTGGGTTTGTTTCGTGCATCATGGAAGTCCAACGACTGTTTCGCCACGGAACTGTTCACCCTGGCGAAACTCTTCTCGAGGCTTGTTTTGGGGGGCTGTTTGCACTAGAGCTGGGCTCAATTCCACGTTTCGTTGCACGCGATCAATCGCAATTTGTCTTTGAATTTTCCAATGTCTGACAAAAAATGGGTCCAGTATCGAGATGGGGCTCTAAATCAGGCCAAAAGCAGCCCATCCTTAGTTGTCCCTAGCCTGCCCTGCATAAGCATCCATGGAAGCCCCTCCTCGCACCCGTGCACTTGTCCGTGTGTGGTGGCTGGCAGGGCTACTTCGACCGGCTGCTGGGACTGTCGGACTCGCGGCTGCAGGCGCAGCTGATTAACGTGGAGCGCACCCTTGACGTGCTCACCCCGCATGATGGGCAGGGCGGGCAGGAGGGGGGGGGGAAGGAGGAGGTGGAGGGGGAGCAAGAGCAGCAGGAGGGGGAAGGGCAACAGCAGGAGGAGGATAAGAAGCAGGAGGAGCAGCAGCAACACCCTGTTGCTGCACCGGAGCAGCAAACGCCGGAGCAGCAGCAGCAGAAGCAACCGCGTCAAGAGCAGCAACAGCAACAGGAGCAGCAACAACTGGAGCAGAAGCAGGAGCAGAAGCCGCAGCAGGAGCAGCAGCCGCAGCAACAGCAGGACCCTGTGTTAGTGGAAGCGAACCTTGTTTCACCTCCTGTGTCACGCAAACTCCTGCAGACCTCGGAGCCAGCATCGTCCCCTGTTTCCGAGGCGCCACCATCCACACCATCGGCAGCCCCTTCCTCATCGCCCTCCGACTCCTCTCCCTCCGACTCGTCTACCTCCGACCCGTCTCCATCCTACTGGTCTCCTTCCAACTCCTCTTCCTCCAAGCGCCCCTTTGCTGTGTTTGTGCGCAACGGCGATGGTTCCCTGGGGTACCACGGCGAGCCACAGCACATGTACAACCCGGAATATGACTGGGCCAACGCCGGGGTTGTGCTCTTCGGCCACTCGCCCGATACATTCAAGGTGAGCCCATGTGCGCGTGCATATAGGGCCAGAGGATTAGGGAGGAAAGGTGGGATGGAAGGAGGGGGTGGCTGGTGGGGCGAGGGTTGGGAAGGGCGTTACATGGCGATGGTTGGTGTGGCGGGGTGAGCTTGAAAGGCAATGCACAGTGTCACCTCGTTTTTTATCTTATGCTGAGAGGTGGAAATAAGGAGCCAGGTCAGCCCGCCCATGCATTTATGCTTCATGTGAAGTGCTCTTCTCTGTCCTTCATTGCGCCTGGTGGCATGCCCTCCTTCCCTCCACCAGTTCCTGGACCAGTGGTATGCCGCCATTCTGCCTGAGTTTGGCGACCAGCGGCCGATGAACCTGGTGTCACTCAAGTGGAAGAAGCAGCTGGTGGTGGTGCCGTACTTGGAGTGGACAGGGCCCGAGGGCATCATGATCAGACACTTCTGGCATCCTGTAGGCGGGGACACACGCAATTATGAACTGCAAAAAGCACTGCTGGGGGTGCTTGTGCAGCAACACCTGGAGGGACGACGGTGACTACATGTAAAAAATTATTATGAAAGCATTCAAGTGAATGAGTAATTGAAGGAACGCTCTTGAATAACCCAAATTATGGCTTCCTTATGCATTAAAGTTACTCATTATAGTGAACCTTTTTTTTTCTCAGGAAGTGAGAATCCCCACGAACCGTGCTTTCAAAACCCCAACGAGGATTTCGCAGAGAGCAGCGACGGCGGTTACCATTTCGACCTGAAGCCATTTGGTTGCCCCCGCCAATCCACCTATTTGATCATCTCTGCGCCCCCCGCTGATCCACCTAGTTGATCATCGCTCTGCACCCTCGACAACCATGGCGTCGAGTCACGGTGCCGCTCAACCTGTGGCGGCCGAAGAGGAAGCTTTGGCAGGGAGCGGTGCGGCAGATGACGGCGAGCTGTTGGATCTGGAGGAGGAGACGGTCGGGATGGACGCAGAGGGCGAGCCTGACGGCGCAGAGTGTGCCACACTGGAGATCCACCTCGGCGAAGCGGGCGACGACGCATGCGATGTGGATCTCGCAGCTGGCGACAACGTCGGCGAAGTCGGCGACGGCGGCGACGGCGTAGACGACAGGGACGGCGACGACGGCGAGGTTCACAAGGCTAAGAGGGCGAGACCCGATCCGTCGGGCCTGGCAGAAACATCTCAGCCAGCGAACGGCTGCGATGGCTCTGGCAAGGAGGAGCCTGCTATGCCTGCCGATCCAACGGCCGTGGCTCTAAACCCCGCAGACTGCACCATCGGTGCGTGCTAAGATTTCTCCCGCTGTTCTGCCTTTCAAACCCCCCCCACCCCACCCCCCCCCCCCCCCAACCCCCCCCCTTGTCTCACCATCTCACCTCTCCGTCATCCCTCCCTGCTCCCACTTATCCCGCACCCCACCCCACCTCTCCCGCCAATCAGATCTCACCATCTCGCATCGCGGTCTGCTGGGCGCGGGCCTGTCGCACGGCGGCTTCGCGTACATCTGGTCGGGCGCGCGCGCCAACTACGGCATCGCCCTGCAGCCGCCGCCTACCGCCGCCGCAGCAGCCTCGGGGGCAACGGACGCCGCTGCGCGCGCCGTGGAGGGGCAGAGCGCAGGGGAGGGGGTAGCAGCAGCGCAAGGGGAGGTTGGAGTGTCAGCGCAAGGGGAGGGGGGAGAAGCAGCGGAAGGGGAGGGGGGAGAAGCAGCGGAAGGAACGGGGACAGCTGCGGCGGGAGCGGAGAGTGCGGATACCGGCGGCGGTGGCGGCGGCGGCGGTGGCGGCGGGCGGTACTGTTTCGCGTGCGTGGTGGAGGAGGAGCAGGCGCTAGACGCGCAGGCGCTGCGGGGCGCGGCAGCAGCAGGAGGGGCAGTAGCGGCGGGAGGAAAGGCGCAAGGGGGCACAGGCGGGGAAGCGGTGGCGGGGATTCCGGAGGACGAGAGGTATCTGTGCCGGATAGGCGTGTCCACGTTGGATACTGACGTGGGGTCGCTGGGAGAGACACGTGGCAGCTTTGCATACGGCAGCACTGGGAAGGTAGGTGGGTGGGAACGGCAGGGGGTAAGGGGTGGGTGGGCAGGGATGCAGGAGAAGACAGGCGTGGGGAGGATTTGGGAGGGGTGAGGCGAGCAGGGAATGACCCAGCTGGCTCAGCAACTGCGTGGAAGGGCGGGGCGTGTTGCATTGGCGGGGCGTGCTCATCCGCATCCCCGCAGGACAGCACCCGTAGCCCTTCACGGGACCCCAGTGGACCATCCCAGTGCCTCTCTTTCAGCCGATGGCAAAAAGGCGAAGAGCAGAGAAGGGCGGTGATTGCAAACAGGGGACGGGGTCCAGGGAACACCTGGGGAAGGCGGAAGGAGGCTCAGTGGGGAAGGGTTTGCTCAATATGTTCTTTTTTCTTATTCAGCTTTGAATGCTTTAAGGAGGCATCCGTCCCGCGAGCTCTCTTCCTGCAGTAGCCTGTCTTCACGCCTTTCTTCCCTGCGCCCCCTACGTCTCGCAACCCCCCGCATCATCCCCCTCTCCCCCCTTCCCTCCCCCCCCTAACCCCCCCCTAACCCCCCCCTGTCGCCCGTCGTTCAGAAGTCCACGGGGGGCGCGGTCTCCCCCTACGGGCGCCCCTTTACCCGCGGCGACGTGGTGCTGTGCGCCGTGGACCTGCCCGCGCGCTCCCTCGCCTTCTCCCTCAACGGCGCCTGGCTGGGCGCTGCCTTCCGCCTCCCGCCTCTGGGGGGTGCTGCTGCGCTGGCGGAAGGGGAGGGGGAAGGGGAGGAGAATGGGGGAGGGGAAGGGGAGGGCAGAAGGGCGGAGGAATTGAAGATGGAGAGTGTTGGCGCGCGGGAGGGGGACGAGGGAGTGGGGGCTGCTGCGGGGGAAGGGGGAGGGGCGATGGTAGTTGAGGGGAAAGGGGAGGCGGAGGGGGGTAAAGCAGGGGAGGGTGGTGTGGCGGAGAAGGTTGAAGAGGCGGAGGGTGGTGGGGGAGGGGCGCCAAGGGAAGGTGGGGGGGAGGGGGGAGAGATGGAGGGGGGAGGTGGTGGTGACGAGGAAGGGAAGGAAGGAACGCGTAAAGGGGATGAGACAGTGGGAAATGAGGGTGAGGGGAAGGAGGAGGGCAAGGAGGGAGGGGAGGAGAGCAAGGAGGGAGGGGAGGAGGTTAAGGAAGCAGGCGAGGAGGGAAAGAAAGGAGAGGAGGGCAGGGAGGGGACGAGGGAGGGAGGTTGTGTGGGAGAGGCGGAGAAGGGCAAGAGCGCAGCAATGGAGGTGGATGGCACAGGGCAGGGCAGTGAGGCCGCAGGGGATGGCGCAGTGGGTGGTGTGGACGCACATGCGTGGATAAGAGCGGCCCTCTTCCCCCATGTGCTCGTGAAGAATGTCAAGGGTATGGCACCATGCATACAGCACCATGCACACGTGCCCGCTTTCGCATTCGCATGCTCGCACTCACCCCCCTCCCTCCCCTCCTCCCTCCGTCCGTCCGTCCGTCCGTCCGTCTGTCCCTCCCTCTCTCCCTCCGTCCCTCCCTCCCTCCCTCCCTCCCTCCCTCTCTCCCAACTGCCTGCAACTCATGTCCACATAGTCTGCCTCTTGCTCTGCTAAACTGTTTTCGCTTCCCCCTTGCCCCCCTGCCTCTGATCGTATGCACCCCGCCATCCCCCTCGTTACCCCTTGCCATACCACTCGCACCATGTCTTGTCCCCACTCTCACTCTCACTCTCCCCCTCGCACTCCCCCTCTTCCCATCTCCTCCCCCCTTCTCCTGCGCGCAGTGCGCCTGCAGTTCTCACCCGCCGACGGCCTCTCCCCCCCACCGGGCTACCTGCCCTGGTCGGACGCGCCCCTCCTCCCCGCGCCCTGCGCCGCCGCTGCTGTTTGCACGCCCCCCACGGACGCCGCACAGACCAGTGCGGTGGGGGAGGCGAAGCAGGAGGCGAGGGTGGGGGCAGCGGGGGCAGAGGGGGCAGTGGGGGCAGCGGGGGCAGAGGGGGCAGCGGGGGCAGGGGATGGGGAGGAGTTGAGTAGAGCAGCAGAGGCAGCAGGGCAGGAGG